CTCTTCTCTTCTCTTCTCTTCTCTTCTCTTCTCTTCTCTTCTCTTCTTCTCCAAAAGAATAGATGAAGATGAATAGAGAAAGGAGGAGGAAAGGGTTTCCATTCCTTCCCCTTTTTCTTTTTTCTTTTTCTTTTCTTTTTTAAATCGAAGTTTCCCAGGCATTGCTGGTAGCAAGTGCACACGGCTCAGACAGACAGCAAAAAAAAAGTTAGGCTTGAATTGGGATTACCTGCTTGTGGGAGGGAGTGGGGGGGTGTTTGCTAACGTCCACATCTGGAGTTGGTTAGCGGCTGGTCAGGCTGAAGCCCTCAAGAGAAGGAAGGCAAAAAGGTTGGGGATATCAGAATTCAGGAGTCCCAGAAGATCATGGTTGGGGCGGGACAGGATATTCTCTCCCCAGTTGCTTTTCTACGGCTTAAGCCTAGTTGGGAGGCGGAGGGCGATGTACCATCCAGACTTCCTGGTGTAACTAGCCTCTTTAGCCCAGTTTTTCGGCCCATACAGGAATAATTTGCATGTTTTTGGCATCAGCTTGGATCAGCTGCAATTGGCATTGGTGGTGCTCCAACCTGCTGGACTGGCTAATCCAGAGCCGTTGGGAGGAGACTTCCAAGATGACCGTAGCAATTCAGGGACTCTGGTTGCCTCGTTCTCCAGGCTCTGCCACATGGCCGCTCCAAGGTTGTGCCAAGAAGCCCTGGACTGGTGAGAGCCTCTCCTAAGAACCAGGCCCAAGCACAGATTTCTTGAAAACCAGAAGGGATATTGGGAGGAGGTGCAACTAGCCCCCGCCTCCCCCCCAAAAAAAATCCTTGAAGCTGTCCTTCAGTGTTATCCCTCTCGCTCCGTGGCAGAATCTTTCTTCAAACCGAGTAGCAGCTTTGCTCTTTTGTGTGTGTGTGTGTTTGTGTGTGTGGCTTCTGGGCTGTTCCTGGTGCTCTCCAGCTAAAGGTTGACTTGGGCTAGTTTTGTGTCTCATACGCCAGCCAGCTGTTAACATCTGCAAATATGGGTCTTCCAACCTAGGTTAGAAGTCTTCTAAAGCATGGCATCCTCCGCAACGTTAAGACTTGCGGATTTCAACTCCAAGCATTCCCCTGTCGGCCATGATGGCTGAGGAATTCTGGGAGTTGAAGTCCACCAGTCTTAACGTTGCCAAGGACGGAGACCCCTGTTCTACAGGCCTTCTCACCTGGGTGAGAACCCCAAAAGAAACAGGGAAAGCGTTAAAAGCCAGGCAGGGCTTAAATTTGGATGACACCAGCACAAAGGGATCCTTGGTTGTTGTTTTTTTTGTTTAGCTAGTTCGCCCAACCCAAGACCCCCTTCTCCCCCTACTCCATTCCTCATGGCTCCCCATTAGCGTCTTCTCCGAGCCTCCTTCTCCCTCCGCAGGTGCCACCCAGAGGAATCGCCCCCCCCCCCCCGCCCTGCCACGAATGAAGTGGGCTGCATGATGCTGTTCCTCAACCGAGGACACAGCTGATCGCCCATTTTGTTCCAGGGGGAAAAAATGTGTGTGTTTGTTTTTTGACAAGCACCCGGTTGGCACCTTCCATGCCTCCCTCGGCCGTTGGGAGATCGCTTGGCACCGAGCGAGTCCCAGCGCTCGGACCAGCTCAAAGCCAGGTGGCGGGGAAGGGTCAAGGGCAGGGGGGATAAAACCTCCGACGGCCTCTTCCTGGCCCGCGAAGAAAGCAAGTGCCAAGCCAAGGGCGGGGAGCGCCAAAGCGCAGGGAGATTTACGGGGTATGTCCGCCTAGCCTTTGCCACCTGTCGCCGTCTGCTCAAAACGGAGCAGGACACAAATCGCTGACTCAAAGGCCTGGCATTCTGGAGCGGCGCAGGGGAACAGGTGATGCAGGAGGCAGCCATCTTTCCACCCTGGGTTTTAAAATAGCCCCTTGCTCAAACAGCCCGAGAATGCGTGCATTGTGTGTGTTTCTTCTGTAGAATTACAGGGAATCCTCAACCCGGTGTGGATTGGCACTTAGCAACTCTCCCTGCGGTCTCCCTTTGATCCCAAGAGGTAGTAAGCACGGCTGTTTTCCATCCAGAAAGCCAAAAGAGGCTGCCGATGGAGAATCGAGATCCGATCGCCTCTTATCAATTTCCACCTCGAATCAAAGTGAGAATCGTTTCAACCTCACCTCTGCAGATTTCTCCTCAGTCCTCCCCTATATGCATTCTTGATTTTTGTTTTCAATCCTGGAAGATTTTTGCAGAGGTGCCTTGCTCCAGTACGCTGGCTGATCCAATCCGAGCTGGGTTTTGTTTGTACCTTATTTTATTAACGTTCCAAGAATGTGATCCGAGAATCAAACACTAAAAACTCGCTGCTGTGGGATACTCTTCCTCCTGTTTTTAAATGGCTTTGTACAGTCGATGTTAAAAAAGTGACGGTTTTTATATAAATTAAACACACCATCACGGGGAAAAAAAAAACTAAAACTCACATTTTTCCTTCCTTCTGGCTGCAGAATTTTTGTCCGGGGATGAGCTTAGACGGCGCTGCTTTTCAGAGGATGACGTTGAAGGACAGGGCGAGGGCAAAGAATGGGCAGGGTGGATTTAAAGGGATTAAGGGAGCTTGTGTGGATGTGATATTCCCAGGAGAGGACAGTGGAAGGCACTTGATTAACGGCCTCATTTGAAGCAGCCGGGGACTTAAGAGCCGGATCAAAAGAAGAGAGACGTTTTCTTCGCACTTGACTAGGTAGAGAATCTCCCTTCCGTGCCAGGGCAAGGAGGGTTGGCACACAATGGCCTGCAGCTCCCTCCTGGGTCCCGCAGGTAGATTTTATTTGGAACTTTTCAGAAAAGAACTTCCTGGGAAAGTTAAAACAACAACAACAGCAGCAGCTTGACCTCCCTGTGTTTTGTTTTTCAGCATCTTTAGAAAATAGTGTCTTCTAGTACTACAACTGCTGTGTTGACGAAGAGAGAAGGCAGGCATTTAAAAAAATAATAATAATCCTGTCTTGGTTTTAGAAATAAGACAACAAACATGGGTAATACCCCTTCCTCTTATTTTCCCCAAAACAACAGCCCTCTGAAGTGGGATGGGCTGACAGAAGCACTGGCCTAAAATCACCCAGTCAGCTCTCATGCCTAAGGCGAAACTAGAACTCATTGTTTCCTGGGTGGCTGGCCCAAAGAGACCCAGCTGGCTTTTGTGCCCAAGGCAGGACCAGAACTCACCATCTCCTGGTGATTGACCTAAAGTCACCCAGATGGCTTTCATGCCTAAGTCTAGTGAGACTAGAATTCACCATTCCCTGGTGGTGGTGTTAGTTGCAAAGTCATCTCTGACCCATTGCGACCCCATGGACAACATTTCTCCAGGCCTTCCAGTCCTGGGTGGTTGGCCCAAAGAGGCCCAGCTGGCTTTTGTGCCCAAGGCAGGACCAGAACTCGCCATCTCCTAGTGATTGACCTAAAGTCACCCAGATGACTTTCATGAGTAAATCTAGTGAGACTAGAATTCACCATCTCCTGGTGATTGACCTAAAGTCACCCAGATGGCTTTCATGCCTAGTGAGACTAGAACTCACTATCTCCTGGTGGTGGTGTTCGTTCCGAAGTTGTGTCCAACCCATTGTGACCCCATGGACAATGTTCCTCCAGGCCTTCCTGTCCTCTACCATTCCCCGGAGTCGATTTGAGCTCACGCTGACCGCTTCAGTGACAATATCCAGCCACCTCCTTCTCTGCCGTCCCCTTCTTTTGCCCTCCATCGTTCGTTGCCCTCAGACTAGAACTCACTATCTCCTGGTGCTTTGGCTCAAAGTCACCCAGCTGGCTTTTGTGCCTAAGCAGCACTAGAACTCACTGTCTTCTGGTTTTGTGCCTAGTGCCTTAACTGCTAGACAAAATAACCGCTTAAATTTAAGAAATCTCTCAGAAAAAAAAAAATTACACTTTCACGATTTGATTTGTATCCTCGTTCTTACGGAACATATAGTAGCATATATAGAAGCCATATACTTTTCCTTTCAGCCATTAATCCGGGCCCTCTTTCTTAACCCCATCTCAGGCCTTGTTATCATGCCATGGTCAAATTGTGCCTGATTATTTACGAAGTCTTTAATCTCTTCGCTTAGTAAAACATTTAGTGATGCGGACACTTACAGACCTTACAAGATAAGTGAGTCTTCGAAAACATTTTTAT